ACTTTGAAAAACGTTCCGCCGGCCCTGCATCGTATGTTAATTTAGAATTTAAAATCACTCCAAGGTATTTAATGGAAGAAATATCACAGCCGAACATAGAGTAAGAATACAACTGCTTATTGATATGGAGAAAATCTATCTTTGAGGTGATAAAAAGCATGCGGTTTGCTTGGCTCATAAAGCAAAGTCTGCTCAGATGAGCTTGAAGTATAAGTAAGTCTTAAGGAGATCTAATGTTAAGGCCATTTGTCGATAGTTGGTAAGGTCTGCTGCATCCTCTTTCTTAAATACGGGGGTAACGTTAAGATGTCCCTAATAAATATCTTAAGCTGATTTATTGCCCAATATTAGCAAAATCTTGGCTCAAAAATCGTCTTAAATAGTGCCAACGTACAATCGACTTTCTAAGCAATTTTAAAGATAAGCAATATGGATAAATTTGACTAAGCAAATAATGGACTTTTTAAGCTGAATTCTAGTTTGATAAATGTGGCCCCTGATATGTATACAGTGTCAGGAACCCAAAATATGTAACAAAACGTAATTTTCAGCTTCAGTACGTGCAGTGCCCATCGAAATGAGCGTACGGTGCGTGAATTATGGAAAGTTTTAGGATGCTGAAAAAGACCTGAAACGTTATTTAAATTATCTAAAAAGTGATATGGAGAATTTCCAAATTTTTCCGTACACGCACGTCACGACGTGCGCGTGGACGGTAATGGCACACGAAATTGAACCTTGTCAAGTGTAATTTAAAAACACTTGTTGGTTGGTAATGCCAATTTTCCCTTCATAATGTACTTTATATCAGTCTGATAGCGTGGAAATACAGTGTGCCACCCTCTATCGACAATGCTTTTTGATAAATTTAAAGAAAGAGAGATGAGAAGGCTCCAAAAATTCATTCTTTTTGACCATGATGACGTCATTAAAATGAAAAATAAAGGGACACTTCCGAAAGAGAATTTGTCTCAGCTATAACATACTGGCAGGTGGAAGACAATCGATAAAGAATTAGCAGGATACCTTCAAATTAGTAAAAAAAAAATAATGACGTCATAAATAATAATTCAGTTTTTTTAATCCAGATGGCAATTTGATGACGTCACAATGTCCGATCATCCATAATGATTTATAAAACTCATGTGCTTTCAAAATATGTAATAAAAATTGGGGGGTCACCTTTTATCCTAAGGAGCTATAACTGATTAAAAATAGGCATGATCTTAAGCATACATAAATGTTGACGCACGCGTACGCGCACGTGAAGACGCGCGATCGGAAAATTAAGTTACCTGACATTCAACCTTGACCTGAAGTGTATGCACATTTAATATGATTCAGAAATGACGAATGGTTAAGATGATTATGGGGGTCTTAAAATTTTTAGGGAAGGAAAGATGAGAGGGTAAAAAAACCCATCTATTTTGACCATGATGACGCCATAAAAATGTAAAAAGAAGTCGCATAATGAAGGGGAATTGTCTCAGCATAAATATTAAACCCCCCCCCCCCTTTTTTTTGCAATTTCATGTCTATTTTCCATGAAACATGTAAATATTTTTGGATTTATTAATTACATGAAAAAACTGCTTCATGTTGTAAATTTACATACGATCTCGTAATGTTCGGTTAAGTAAAAAAAATCATTAGTTCAGTATCATGTGGTGTTCATTGTCATGCATATGCTGACGATACTCAACCGTATATTAGCTTCTATGTTATTGTTTTGTCCGAGGCAAAAAAAAAAAAAAAAAAAAATGCAACTGAAGCATGTCTTAGAGATGTACAAGCCTGGTTATCATAACATTATGCTCTGTTTCAATCCTGATAGACTGAAGTACTAAATATTTATTCCAAGCAATTTTCAAAACCGCCTCCTATCAATAACATTGCAATTGGAACCGAGACTTGTGCTCTTCTGTTATCGGCATATTGGAGTCGTTTTCAATCCTAATGAGGATGGGAAAACACATACCGGTATCCAAGTTTGTTACGTATCATCTTCGTCGGTTGAAAAGATTGCAGCTATGTCTTAAGAACACAGCACTACGACTTGTCTCCGGAATATCTAGGCACGAACATATAACACCAGTCATCGATTAAATACATGTAGTTACCAATAAACAAGCCCATCTAATTTAAGATTTTACTTCTCAGATACAAGCCTCTCAATCATAAGGCTCCGAAATATATTGTTCGACTTCTGATGTCTCGTTCTGATCAACCACTGATACATCTATACTTTCAGTTCAGACATTAAGAGAGAGCAGCTTAGCTCAGTCGGCTAATCTGGTTGTAGCCACTGTGTGTGCGCTGAATTTTGGAGATCTCAAGGATGGAGGGGAGGATGAAAAACGAAAATGAATGTAGAGAGTTGTTCTATGACGAACAAAAACGACATTTTGACTTTACTAATATGAAGGCCACTCATGTACCATTTAATTCCAGAGTATTCATGCCCTCGCCGGATGCGGAAGGTATAGAATCCAGAATGAGTTGCGCGAAAACCAAAATTAAAGAAGTACTGGAACAACATCAAAGGAAAGCAAAGGAGGAGAAAACGTAAAATACAGGGCTAAAACCGGTTTAAGGAGCTTGA